TTAAATTCTGTAACAAATACATTTAAATTGGAAAGATAGAAACACTTACTAATAATCCAACGCTCCATTGTCTCCATAGACAGGTATTCGCACGCCATCTGTAGAAGACAACCAACTTATTAACTCCCACAGACTCATTTACTGTTAGCAACATGAATAAAGTCTTTACTTCAGCTGTTATACATCCCTTTTCTATACTGTGTTTTGGTCCTTTTTCATTTGCAGGAGTATTCGCTGCCTTCCAAAGTGTAGATTTTTATACAAGACAAAGTATATTCAATATAACAAAAGTCGGGGCATAAGCAGAAAAAAGGTAAAGGCACACAGTTTTCATAATTAAGTGTTTTAAAGATGCAGAATAAAAACAGAACTCACATAAATAACCTGAATAAATGCGTTCACTCTTATGCTGGTAGTAAAACATTGTCATATTTCGCTACACCTCGTCTCACTATTTCAAAACAGGAGTTGAGGGTATGAGAGGAAATGAGACTCACAGTGTCACAACAGGCTGAGTCCAGCATGGCAGCTGGAGCGCTGAGCAGGCTGAGGAGCTGGGCGCTTCGCCACTGCTCTGCTGGCAGGTTCCTCCGTGGGTAGACCATCTTCAGCGAAAGCAATGCTGTTGTCACAGCCTGACAGAGGGATAGAGGTGCAAAGGACACCAAGTGAGGAAGACGGAGGGAAAGTGAGAACATTTAAAAAGCCAAAAGGACGAAATTCTGAGAGAAGGCAACGCATTAAAAACCTCATAAATGGTGATTTGTTTTGTTGCACGCACACGGGCATATTTCAAGATAACCCATGAGTAAACCCTTTTAATCAATGAAAAACAAATTAGTGGAGAAAAAGGCAAACTATAATAAAACGTTTTTGTTTCATAGAGTGGTGAAGGCGCAAAAGAACTTGGGTTGTTCAGGTGCAGGGAAAAAGAAAAACACCTTTTATATAAAAGAACTAGCATTTTGCTGTATTTGCTGTATTTAAAGTTTACCTTTATACTTGGACAGCTAATGACACATTTTTGAATTTACCTTTGTATGAGGGCCAAACTCCTCCGTGAGCTTCTTCCAGGGATGATCATACTCCAGAAACATCTGGCCCAGCCGAGGGTAGGAGGGGTCACTGTAAGGGTCACATTCAGTATAGGCATGATAAGAGCAGTACTATTTTAATCCAACTTACAAGGTTTTAATGAGAATAGAAACATCTGACTGGGGTTGCTGCAAATGGCCTTGCATTAGCCAAACAAAGTGTGGCTTTTAAAGTAAGTAGTAACTAATGCTTAAAATTCAAATTTATTATAATGATTAGAAAAATTGGAGTATTTGTGGATGAAGCGTTTAGCACATAGGTGTCAAACTCTGGCCCGCGGGCCAAATTTGGCC